GCTCCTGGACCAGGCAAGCTCTTGGACCAGGCAAGCTCCTAGTCCAGGCAAGCTCCTTGACCAGGCAAGCTCCTGGACAACGCAAGCTCATGGACCACGCAAGCTCTTGGACCAGGCACGCTCCTGGACCAGGCAAGCTCTTGGACCAGGCAAGCTTCTGGACCAAGCAAGCTCTTGGCACAGGAACGATCCTGGACTAGGCAAGCTTGTGGACCAGGCAAACTCGTGGACCAGGAACGCTCCTGGACCAGGCAAGCTCCTAGACCAGGCAAGCTCCTAGACCAGGCAAGCTACTGGACTAGGCAAGCTCATGGACCAGGCAAGCTCCTGGACCAGGCAAGCTCTTGGACCATGCAAGCTCCTAGACCAAGCAAGCTCCTTGACCAGGCAAGCTCCTGGACCACGCAAGCTCCTGGACCACGCAAGCTCTTGGACCAGGCACACTCCTGGACCAGGCAAGCTCTTAGACCAGGCAGGCTTCTGGACCAAGCAAGCTCTTGGCACAGGAACGCTCCTGGACGAGGCAAGCTTTTGGACCAGGCAAACTCGTGGACCAGGAACGCTCCTGGACCAGGCAAGCTCCTAGACCAGGCAAGCTCCTAGACCAGGCAAGCTGCTGGACTAGGCAAGCTCCAGGACCAGGCAAGCTCCTAGACCAGGCAAGCTCTTGGACCAGGCAAGCTCCTCGACCAGGCAAGCTCCTTGACCAGGCAAGCTCTTGGACCACGCAAGCTCCTGGACCATGCAAGCTTTTGGACCAGGCAAGCTCCTGGACCAGGCAAGCTCCTGGACCAGGCAAGCTAATGGACCATGAAAGCTCGTGGACAAGGCAAGCTCCTGCTCGTGGAACAGGCAAGCTCCTGGACCAGGTAAGCTTCTGGACCAGGCAAACTCGTGGACCAGGAACGCGCTTGGACCAAGCAAGCTCCTAGACAAGGCAAGCTCCTAGACCAGGCAAGCTGCTGGACTAGGCAAGCTCCTGGACCAGGCAAGCTTCTGGACCAGGCAAGCTCTTGGACGAGGCAAGCTCCTGGACCAGGCAAGCTCCTTCACCAGGCAAGCTCCTAGACCACGCAAGCTCCTGGACCACGCAAGCTCTTGGACCAGGCAGGCTTCTGGACCAAGCAAGCTCTTGGAACAGAAGCCAAGCTCCTGGACCAGGCAAGCTCCTTGATCAGGCAAGCTCCTGGACCAGGATAGCTCATGGACCAGGCAAGCTCCTGGACCAAGCACGCTCCTGGACCATGCAAGCTCCTAGACCAGGCAAGCTCCTGGACCAGGCAAGCTTCCGGACCAGGCACGCTCTTGGACCAGGCAAGCTCCTAGACCAGGCAAGCTCCTAGACTAGGCAAGCTCCTGGACCAGGCAAGCTCCTAGACCACGCAAGCTCTTGGACCAGGCAAGCTCTTGGACAAGGCAAGCTCCTGGACCAGGCAAGCTCCTGGACCAGGCAAGCTCCTCGACCACGCAAGCTCCTGGACTAGGCAAGCTCTTAACCCAGACACGCTCCGGGACCAGGCAAGCTCTTGGACCAGGCAGGCTTCTGGACCAAGCAAGCTCTTGGACCATGAAAGCTCCTGGACCAGGCAAGCTCTTGGACCAGGCACGCTCCTGGACCAGGCAAGCTCTTGGACCAGGCAAGCTCCTTGACCAGGCAAGCTCCTAGATCAGGCACGCTCCTGGACCAGGCAAGCTCCTAGACCAGGCAAGCTCCTGGACCACGCAAGCTCTTGGACCAGGCACGCTCTTGGACCACGCAAGCTTGCCTTGTCCAAGAGCTTGCCTGGTCCAAGAGCTTGCGTGGTCTAGGAGCTTGCCTGGTCCAGGAGCTTGCCTAGTCTAGGAACTTGCCTGGTCTAGGAGCTTGCCTGGTCCAAGAGCGTGCCTGGTCCGGAAGCTTGCCTGGTCCAGGAGCTTGCCTTGTCCAGGAGCTTTCATGGTCCGTTAGCTTGACTGGTCCAGGAGCTTGCCCGGTCCAGGAGCTTGTCTGGTCCAAGAGCTTGCGTGGTCGAGGAGCTTGCCTAGTCTAGGAGCTTGCCTGGTCCAAGAGCGTGCCTGGTACAGGAGCTTGCCAAGTCCAGGAGCTTGCAAGGTCCAGGAGCCTGCCTGGTCCAGGAGCTTGCCTCGTCTAGGAACTTGCCTGGTCCAGGAGCGTGCCCGGTCCACGAGCTTGCTTGGTCCAGAAGCTTCCTTGGACCGGGAGTTTGCCTGGTCCAAGATATTGCCTGGTCCGGGAGCTTGCCTTGTCCAGAAGCTTGCGTGGTCCAGGAGCTTGCCAGGTCCAGGAGCTTGCTTGGTCTAGATGCCTACCTGGTCCAAGAGCTTGCGTCGTCCAGGAGCTTGCCTGGTCCAGGAGCTTGCTTGGTCGAGAAGCGTGCCTGGTCCAAGAGCTTGCCTGGTCCAGGAGCGTGCTTGGTCCAAGAGCTTGCATGGTCTAGGAGCTTGCCTCGTCCAGGAGCTTGCCTGGTCAAGGAGCGTGCTTGGTCCATGAGGTTGCCTGTTCCAGGAGCGTGCCTAGGCTAGGAGCGTGCCTGGTCCACGAGCGTGCCTGGTCCAGGAGCTTGCGTGGTCCAATAGCTTGCCTGGTCCAAGAGCGTGCCTGGTCCAAGAGCTTGCCTGGTCCAGGAGTGTGCCTGGTCCACGAGTGTGCCTGGTCCAGGAGCTTGCTTGGTCCAGGAGCTTGCCTGGTCCAGGAGCCTGCCTGGTCCACGAGCTTGCTTGGTCCAGGAGCTTGCGTGGTCCAGGAGCTTGCTTGGTCCAGAAGCCTGCCTGGTCCAAGAGGGTTCCTGGTCCAAGAGCTTGCCTGGTCAAGGAGCTTGCCTGGTCTAGGAGCTTGCCTGGTCCAGGAGCCTGCGTGGTCCACGAGCTTGCGTGTTCCACGAGCTTGCCCGGTCTAAGAGCTTGCGTGGTTTAGGAGCTTGCCTGGTCCAGGAGCTTGCCTGGTCCAGAGCGTGCCCGGTCCATGAGCTTGCCTGGTCCAGGAGTTTGCCTGGTCCAGGACCTTGCCTGGTCTAGGAGCTTGCCTGGTCCAAGAGCGTGCCTGGTCAACGAGCGTTCCTGGTCCAGGAGCTTGCGTGGTCCATGAGCTTGGCTGGACTAGGATCTTGCCTGGTCCAGGAGCTTGCCTTGTTCAGCAGCTTGCCCGGTCATGAAGCCTACCTGGTCCAAGAGCTTGCCTGGTCCAAGAGCGTGCCTGGTCCAAGAGCTTGCGTGGTCCAGGAGCTTGCCTGGTCTAGGAGCTTGCCTGGTCGAGGAGCGTGCCTGGTCTAGGAGCTTGCCCGGTCAAGGAGCTTGCCTGGTCCACGAGCTTGGCCGGTCCACGAGCTTGCCTGGTCCAGGAGCTTGCCTGGTCCAGGAGCTTGCCTGGTCTAGGATCTTGCCTGGTCCAGGACCGTGCCTGGTCCACGAGCTTGCATGGTCCGGGAGCTTGGCTGGTCCAGGAGCTTGCCAGGTCCAAGAGCTTGCCTGGTCCAAGAGCTTTCGTGGTTTAGGAGCATGCCCTGTCCAAGAGCTTGGCTGGTCCAAGAGCATGGCTGGTCCACGAGCTTGCCTGGTCTAGGAGCTTGCCTGGTCCAGGACCTTGCCTCGTCTAGGAGCTTGCCTGGTCCAGGAGCGTGCCTGGTCGAGGAGCTTGCCTGATCCAGGAGCTTGCCTGGTCTAGGAGCTTGCCTCGTCCAAGATCTTGCCTGGTCTAGGAGCTTACCAGGTCCAGGAGCGTTCGTGGTCCAGGAGCTTGCCTGGTCTAGGAGCTTGCCTGGTCCAGGAGCTTGCCTCGTCCAAGATCTTGCCTGGTCCAGGAGCGTGCCTGGTCCACGAGTTTGCCTGGACCAGGAGCTTGCCTGGTCCAAGAGCTTGCCCGGTCTAGGAGCTTGCCGGGTCCAGGAGCGTGCCTGGTCCAGGAGCTTGCCTAGTCCAGGAGCTTGCCTGGTCAAAGAGCTTGCCTGGTCCAGGAGCTTTGCCTGGTCCAGGAGCTTGCCTGTTCTAGGAGCGTGCCTGGTCCAGGAGCCTGCCCTGTCCTGGAGCTTTCTTGGTCAGTTAGCTTGCCTTGGACCAGGCAAGCTCCAGGATCAGGCAAGCTCCAGGACCAGGTAAGCTCCTGGACCAGGCAAGCTCCTAGACGAGGCAAGCTTATGGACTAGGCACTCTCCTGGACCAGACACATTCCAGGACCAGGCACGCTCCTAGACGAGGCCAGCTCCTGAACCAGGCAAGCTCCTTGACGAGGCAAGCTCTTGGACCAGGCAAGCTTGTGGACTAGGCAAGCTCTTGGACCAGGCAAGCTCTTGGACCAGGCAAGCTCTTGGACCAGGCAAGCTCGTGGACCAGGCAAGCTCCTTGACCAGGCACGCTCCTAGACGAGGCAAGCTCATGGACTAGGCACGCTCCTAGACAAGACACATTCCAAGACCAGGCATGCTCCAGGACCAGGCCAGCTCCTGGACCAGGCAAGCTCCTTGACCAGGCACGCTCCTGGACCAGGCAAGCTCTTGGTCCCGGCATGCACCTGGACCTGACAAGCTCTTGCACCTGGCAAGCTCTTGGACCAGTGAAGCTCCAGGACCAGGCAAGCTCTTGGACCAGGCAAGCTCCTGGACCAGGGAAGCTCCTCGACCAAGGACGCTCCTGGACCAGACAAGCTCTAGGACGAGGCTAGCTCGTGGACCAGGCAAGCACCTGGACCAGGCACGCTCCTGGACCAGGCAAGCTCCTGGACCAGGCACGCTCCTGGACTAGACAAGCTCCTGGACCAGGCAAGCTCATGGACCAGGCGCATTTTAGCTTCAGGCACGCTTTTGGACCAGGCCAGCTCCTGGTCCAGGCAAGCTCCTTGACGAGGCAACCTCCTCGACCAGGCAAGCTCTTAGACTAGGCATGCTCCTGGACTAGGCAAGCTTGGACCGAGCAAGCTCTTGGACCAAGCAAGCTCCTGGACCAGGCAAGCTCTTGGACAAGGCAAGCTTTTGGATCAGGCAAGCTCCTTGTCTAAGCAAGCTCCTAGATCAGGCACGCTCCTGGACCAGGAAAGCTCTTGGACCAGGCAAGCTCCTTGATAAGGCAAGCTCTTCGACGAGGCAAGCTCCTGGACCAGGTAAGCTCCTCGACCACGCAAGCTCTTGGACGAGGCAAGCTCCTGGACCAGGCAAGCTCCTAGACAAGGCAAGCTCCTGGACCAGGCAAGCTTCTGGACCAAGCAAGCTCCTGGACCAGGCAAGCTCCTGGATCACGCAAGCCCATGGACCAGGCACGCTCCTCGACCACGCAAGCTCCACGTCGACGTCCACGTCCACGTCCACGTCCACGTCCACATCCATGTCCACGTCCACGTCCACTTCCACGTCCACGTCCACGTCCACGTCCATGTCCACGTCCACGTCCACGTCCACGACCATGTCCATGTCCACGTCCACGTCCACGTCCATGTCAACGTCCAAGTCCTCCACGTCCACGACCACGTCCACGTCCACGTCCACGTCAACGTCCACGTCCACAACCATGTCTACGTCCACGTCCACGTCCACGTCCTCCACGTCCACGTCCACGTCCTCCACGTCCACGTCCTCCACGTCCTCCACGTCCACGTCCTCCACGTCCACGTCCATATCCACGTCCATGACCACGTCCACGTCCACGTCCACGACCACGACCACATCTATGTCCACGTCCACATCTATGTCCACGTCCACGTCCACGTCTATGTCCACGTCCACGTCCACGTCCATGACCACGTCCATGTCCACGTCAACGTCCATGTCCACGTCCACGTCCACGTCCACGACCATGTCCATGTCCACGTCCATGTCCACGTCCATGTCTATGTCCACGACCATGTCCATGTCCACGACCATGTCCATGTCCACGTCCACGTCCACGACCATGTCCATGTCCACGACCATGTCCATGTCCACGTCCATGTCCATGTCCACGACCATGTCCATGTCTACGTCCACGTCCACGACCATGTCCATGTCCACGACCATGTCCACGTCCACGTCCATGTCCACGTCCACGTCCATGTCCACGTCCACGTCCACGTCCAGGTCCACGTCCACGTCCACGTCCACGTCCACGTCCACGTCCATGACCACGTCCACGTCCACCTCCACGTCCACCTCCACGTCCATGTCCACGTCCACGTCCACGTCCACGTCCACGTCCACGTCCACGTCCACGTCCACGTCCACGACCATGTCCACGTCCACGTCCACGTCCATGTCCACGTCCACGTCCACGTTCACGTGTACGTCCATGTCCACGTCCACGTCCACGTCCACGTCCACGTCCACGTCCACGTCCTTGTCCTCCTCCTCGTCCACGTCGACGTCCACGTCCACGTCAACGTCCACGTCCACGTCCACGTCCATGTCCTCCACGTCCACGTCCACGTCCACGTCCACGTCCACGTCCACGTGCACGTCAACGTCCAGGTCCAGGTCCAGGTCCACGTCCACGTCCACGTCCACGTCCACGTCCACGTCCAGGTCCACGTCCATGTCCACGTCCACGTCCACGTCCACGTCCACGTCCACGTCCATGTCCACGTCCACGTCCACGTCCACGTCAACGTCCACGTCCACGTCCACGTCCATGTCCTCCACGTCCACATCCACGTCCACGTCCACGTGCACGTCCACGTCCACGTCCTCGTCCACGTCCTCGTCCACGTCCACGTCCACGTCCACGTCCACGTCCACGTCCTCGTCCTCGTCCACGTCCACGTCCACGTCCACGTCCATGTCCTCCACGTCCACGTCCACGTCAACGTCCACGTCCACGTGCACGTCAACGTCCAGGTCCACGTCCACGTCCACGTCCTTGTCCACCTCCACGTGCACGTCCACGTCCAGGTCCACGTCCACGTGCACGTCCATATCCACGTCCACGTCCACGTCCACGTCCATGTCCACGTCCATGTCCACGTCCACGTCCACGTCCACGTCCACGTCCACGTCCATGTCCACGTCCACGTCCACGTCCACGTCAACGTCCACGTCCACGTCCACGTCCATGTCCTCCACGTCCACGTCCATGTCCACGTCCACGTGCACGTCAACGTCCAGGTCCAGGTCCACGTCCACGTCCACGTCCACGTCCACGTCCATTTCTACGTCCACGTCCACGTCCACGTCCATGTCCTCCACGTCCACGTCCACGTCCTCGTCCAGATCCACGTCAACGTCCAGGTCCACGTCCACGTCGACGTCCACGTCCACGTCCACGTCCGCGTCAACGTCCACGTCCACGTCCACGTCCATTTCTACGTCCACGTCCACGTCCACGTCCATGTCCTCCACATCCACCTCCACGTCCAGGTCCACGTGCCATCGACGTCCAGGTCCACGTCCACGTCCACGTCCACGTCCATGTCCACGTCCACGTCCACGTCCTCCACGTCCACGTCCACGTCCACGCGCACGTCAACGTCCAGGTCCACGTCCACGTCAACGTCCAGGTCCACGTCCACGTCCACCTCCATTTCTACGTCCACGTCCACGTCCACGTCCACGTCCACGTCCACGTCCACGTCCTCCTCCTCGTCCACGTCCACGTCCACGTCCACGTCCACGTCTAGTCCACGTCCACGTCCACGTCCACGTCCACGTCCATTTCCACGTCCACGTCCACGTCCACGTCCACGTCCATGTCCTCCACGTCCACGTCCACGTCCATGTCCTCCACGTCCACGTCCACGTCCACGGCCACGTCAACGTCCAGGTCCACGTCCACGTCCACGTCCAAGTCCACGACCACGACCACGTCCACGTCCACATCCACGTCCACGTCCATCCACGTCCACGTCCACGTCCTCGTCCTCGTCCACGTCCACGTCCACGTCCACGTCCACGTCCACCTCCACGTCCACGTCCTCCACGTCCACGTCCACGTCCACGCGCACGTCAACGTCCAGGTCCACGTCCACGTCAACGTCCAGGTCCACGTCCACGTCCACCTCCATTTCTACGTCCACGTCCACGTCCACGTCCACGTCCACGTCCACGTCAACGTCCATTTCTACGTCCATGTCTACGTCCACGTCCACGTCCATGTCCACGTCCACGTCCACGTCCATTTCTACGTCCATGTCCACGTCCACGTCCACGTCCACGTCCATTTCTACGTCCATGTCCACGTCCACGTCCACCTCCAGGTCCATGTCCATGTCCATGTCCACGTCCATGTCGACGTCCACGTCCACGTCCATGTCCATGTGCACGTCCACGTCCACGTCCATGTCTACGTCCACGTCCACGTCCACGTCCACGTCCATGTCCACGTCCACGTCCACGTCCATGTCCACGTCCAGGTCCACGTCCAGGTCCACGTCCATGTCCACGTCCACTTCCACGTCCTGGTCCACGTCCACGTCCACGTCAAGTTCCACGTCCAGGTCCACGTCCAGGTCCACGTCCACGTCCACGTCCACTTCCACGTCCACGTCCACGTCCACCTCCACGTCCACGTCCACGTCCACGTCCACGTCCACGTCCACGTCCACGTCCACGTCCACGTCCGCGTCCACGTCCGCGTCCGCGTCCACGTCCGCGTCCGCGTCCACGTCCGCGTCCACGTCCACGTCCAGGTCCGCGTCTACGTCCACGTCCTCCACGTCCACGTCCACGTCCACGTCCACGTCCACGTCCACGTCCACGTCCACGTCCACGTCCACGTCCGCGTCCGCGTCCACGTCCACGTCCACGTCCACGTCCACGTCCGCGTCCACGTCCACGTCCACGTCCATTACGTCCACGTCCACGTCCACGCGCACATCAACGTCCAGGTCCACGTCCACGTCAACGTCCAGGTCCACGTCCACGTCCACCTCCATTTCTACGTCCACGTCCACGTCCACATCAACGTCCAGGTCCACGTCCACGTCCACGTCCACGTCCACGACCACGTCTACGACCACGTCCACGTCCACGTCCACGTCCACGTCCACGTCCACCTACACGTCCACGTCCTCCACGTCCACGTCCACGTCCACGCGCACATCAACGTCCAGGTCCACGTCCACGTCAACGTCCAGGTCCACGTCCATGTCCACCTCCATTTCTACGTCCACGTCCACGTCCACGTCCACGTCCACGTCCTCGTCCATGTCCACGTCCACGTCCACCTCCACGTCCACCTCCACGTCCACGTCCACGTCCACGTCCATGTCCACGTCCACGTCCTCGTCCATGTCCACGTCCATGTCCACGTCCATGTCCACGTCCACGTCCATGTCTACGTCCACGTCCATGTCCACGTCCACGTCCACGTCCATGTCCACGTCCACGTCCACGTCCACGTCCATGTCCACGTCCACGTCCACGTCCACGTCCATGTCCACGTCCATGTCCATGTCCACGTCCACGTCCATGTCCACGTCCACGTCCATGTCCACGTCCATGTCCACGTCCATGTCCACGTCCACGTCCACGTCCATGTCCACGTCTACGTCCACGTCTACGTCCATGTCCACGTCCACGTCCAAGTCCACGTCCACGTCCACGTCCACGTCCATGTCCACGTCCACGTCCATGTCCACGTCCACGTCCACGTCCACGTCCATGTCCACGTCCACGTCCACGTCCATGTCCACGTCCACGTCCACGTCCATGTCCACGTCCATGTCCATGTCCACGTCCACGTCCATGTCCACGTCCACGTCCAGGTCCACGTCCATGTCCACGTCCATGTCCACGTCCACGTCCACGTCCATGTCCACGTCCACGTCTACGTCCACGTCCATGTCCACGTCCACGTCCACGTCCATGTCCACGTCCAAGTCCACGTCCACGTCCATGTCCACGTCCACGTCCACGTCCACGTCCACGTCCATGTCCACGTCCATGTCCATGTCCACGTCCATGTCCATGTCCGCGTCCACGTCCATGTCCACGTCCATGTCCACGTCCATGTCCACGTCCACGTCCACGTCCATGTCCACGTCCAAGTCCACGTCCATGTCCAAGTCCATGTCCACGTCCACGTCCACGTCCACGTCCACGTCCATGCCATGTCCACGTCCACGTCCATGTCCATGTCCACGTCCATGTCCATGTCCATGTCCATGTCCATGTCCATGTCCATGTCCACGTCCATGTCCATGTCCATGTCCACGTCCATGTCCATGTCCACGTCCACGTCCATGTCCACGTCCACGTCCATGTCTACGTCCATGTCCACGTCCATGTCCACGTCCACGTCCACGTCCATGTCCACGTCCACGTCCACGTCCACGTCCACGTCCATGTCCACGTCCACGTCCATGTCCACGTCCATGTCCACGTCCACGTCCACGTCCACGTCCATGTCCACGTCCACGTCCACGTCCACGTCCATGTCCACGTCCACGTCCACGTCCACGTCCACGTCCACGTCCACGTCCTCCTCCATGTCCATGTCCACGTCCATGTCCACGTCCACGTCCACGTCCATGTCCACGTCCACGTCCACGTCCATGTCCACGTCCACGTCCACGTCCATGTCCACGTCCACGTCCACGTCTGCGTCCACGTTCACGTCCACGTCTGCGTCCACGTCCATGTCCACGTCCACGTCCACGTCCTTTTCTACGTCCACGTCTACGTCCACGTCCATGTCCACGTCCACGTCCACGTCCATGTCCACGTCCACGTCCATGTCCATGTCCACGTCCATGTCCACGTCCACGTCCACGTCCACGTCCACGTCCATGTCCACGTCCATTTCCACGCCCACGTCCACGTCCACGTCCATGTCCACGTCCACGTCCACGTCCACGTCCATGTCCACGTCCATGTCCACGTCCACGTCCACGTCCACGTCCACGTCCACGTCCACGTCCACGTCCACGTCCACGTTCACGTCCACGTCCACGTCCACGTCCACGTCCACGTCCACGTCCACGTCCATGTCCACGTCCACGTCCACGTCCACGTCCACGTCCACCTCCACGTCCACGTCCATGTCCACGTCCACGTCCACGTCCACGTCCACGTCCACGTCCACGTCCACGTCCACGTCCACGTCCATGTCCATGTCCACGTCCACGTCCACGTCCACGTCCACGTCCACGTCCATGTCCAGGTCCATGTCCATATCCACGTCCATGTCCACGTCCATGTCCACGTCCATGTCCACGTCCATGTCCACGTCCATGTCCACGTCCATGTCCACGTCCACGTCCACGTCCACGTCCATTTCTACGTCCACGTCCACGTCCACGTCCACGTCCACGTCCTCCTCCTCGTCCACGTCCACGTCCACGTCCACGTCCACGTCCACGTCTAGTCCACGTCCACGTCCACGTCCACGTCCACGTCCACGTCCACGTCCACGTCCACGTCCACGTCCACGTCCACGTCCATGTCCACGTCCACGTCCACGTCCACGTCCACGTCCACGTCCACGTCCACGTCCACGTCCATGTCCACGTCCATGTCCATATCCACGTCCATGTCCACGTCCATGTCCACGTCCATGTCCACGTCCATGTCCACGTCCACGTCCACGTCCATTTCTACGTCCACGTCCACGTCCAGGTCCACGTCCACGTCCACGTCCTCCTCCTCGTCCACGTCCACGTCCACGTCCACGTCCACGTCTAGTCCACGTCCACGTCCACGTCCACGTCCACGTCCATTTCCACGTCCACGTCTACGTCCACGTCCACGTCCACGTCCACGTCCATGTCCTCCACGTCCACGTCTACGTCCATGTCCTCCACGTCCACGTCCACGTCCACGTCCACGTCAACGTCCAGGTCCAGGTCCACGTCCATGTCCACGACCACGTCCACGACCACGTCCACGTCCACGTCCACGTCCACGTCCACGTCCATCCACGTCCACGTCTACGTCCTCGTCCTCGTCCACGTCCACGTCCACGTCCACGTCCACGTCCACCTCCACGTCCACGTCCTCCACGTCCACGTCCACGTCCACGCGGACGTCAACGTCCAGGTCCACGTCCACGTCAACGTCCAGGTCCACGTCCACGTCCACCTCCATTTCTACGTCCACGTCCACGTCCACGTCCACGTCCACGTCCACGTCCACGTCCTCGTCCATGTCCACGTCCACGTCCACCTCCACCTCCACCTCCACGTCCACGTCCACCTCCACGTCCACGTCCACGTCCACGTCCATGTCCACGTCCACGTCCATGTCCACGTCCACGTCCAAGTCCACGTCCATGTCCAAGTCCATGTCCACGTCCACGTCCACGTCCACGTCCACGTCCACGTCCACGTCCACGTCCACGTCCACGTCCATGTCCACGTCCACGTCCACGTCCATGTCCACGTCCACGTCCACGTCCATGTCCACGTCCACGTCCACGTCCACGTCTACGTCCACGTCCACGTCCACGTCCACGTCCACGTCCACGTCCATGTCCACGTCCACGTCTACGTCCATGTCCACGTCCACGTCTACGTCCACGTCCACGTCCACGTCCTCCTCCACGTCCACGTCCACGTCCTCCTCCACGTCCATGTCCACGTCCATGTCCACGTCCACGTCCACGTCCAGGTCCACGTCCACGTCCACGTCCACGTCCACGTCCACGTCCACGTCCACGTCCGCGTCCACGTCCACGTCCGCGTCCACGTCCATGTCCACGTTCACGTCCGCGTCCACGTTCACGTCCACGTCCGCGTCCACGTCCACGTCCACGTCCATACGTCCACATCCATGTCCACGTCCACGTCCACGTCCATGTCCACGTCCACGTCCACGTCCATGTCTACGTCCACGTCCATGTCTACGTCCATGTCCACGTCCACGTCCACGTCCATGTCCACGACCACGTCCACGTCCACGTCCACGTCCACGTCCATTTCCACGTCCACGTCCACGTCCACGTCCACGTCCATGTCCACGTCCACGTCCACGTCCACGTCCACGTCCACGTCCACGTCTACGTCCACGTCCACGTCCACGTCCACGTCCACGTCCACGTCCATGTCCATGTCCACGTCCACGCGGACGTCAACGTCCAGGTCCACGTCCACGTCAACGTCCAGGTCCACGTCCACGTCCACCTCCATTTCTACGTCCACGTCCACGTCCACGTCCACGTCCACGTCCTCGTCCATGTCCACGTCCACGTCCACCTCCACGTCCACCTCCACGTCCACGTCCACGTCCACGTCCACGTCCATGTCCACGTCCACGTCCACGTCCACGTCCACGTCCACGTCCACGTCCACGTCCATGTCCACGTCCATGTCCATATCCACGTCCATGTCCACGTCCATGTCCACGTCCATGTCCACGTCCATGTCCACGTCCACGTCCACGTCCATTTCTACGTCCACGTCCACGTCCAGGTCCACGTCCACGTCCACGTCCTCCTCCTCGTCCACGTCCACGTCCACGTCCACGTCCACGTCTAGTCCACGTCCACGTCCACGTCCACGTCCACGTCCATTTCCACGTCCACGTCTACGTCCACGTCCACGTCCACGTCCACGTCCACGTCCAGGTCCTCCACGTCCACGTCTACGTCCATGTCCTCCACGTCCACGTCCACGTCCACGTCCACGTCAACGTCCAGGTCCAGGTCCACGTCCATGTCCACGACCACGTCCACGACCACGTCCACGTCCACGTCCACGACCACGTCCACGTCCATCCACGTCCACGTCTACGTCCTCGTCCTCGTCCACGTCCACGTCCACGTCCACGTCCACGTCCACCTCCACGTCCACGTCCTCCACGTCCACGTCCACGTCCACGCGGACGTCAACGTCCAGGTCCACGTCCACGTCAACGTCCAGGTCCACGTCCACGTCCACCTCCATTTCTACGTCCACGTCCACGTCCACGTCCACGTCCACGTCCACGTCCTCGTCCATGTCCACGTCCACGTCCACCTCCACCTCCACCTCCACGTCCACGTCCACCTCCACGTCCACGTCCACGTCCACGTCCATGTCCACGTCCACGTCCATGTCCACGTCCACGTCCAAGTCCACGTCCATGTCCAAGTCCATGTCCACGTCCGTCACGTCCACGTCCACGTCCACGTCCACGTCCACGTCCACGTCCATGTCCACGTCCACGTCCACGTCCATGTCCACGTCCACGTCCACGTCCATGTCCACGTCCACGTCCACGTCCACGTCTACGTCCACGTCCACGTCCACGTCCACGTCCACGTCCACGTCCATGTCCACGTCCACGTCTACGTCCATGTCCACGTCCACGTCTACGTCCACGTCCACGTCCACGTCCTCCTCCACGTCCACGTCCACGTCCTCCTCCACGTCCATGTCCACGTCCATGTCCACGTCCACGTCCACGTCCATGTCCACGTCCACGTCCACGTCCACGTCCACGTCCACGTCCACGTCCGCGTCCACGTCCACGTCCACGTCCGCGTCCACGTCCATGTCCACGTTCACGTCCGCGTCCACGTTCACGTCCACGTCCGCGTCCACGTCCACGTCCACGTCCATACGTCCACGTCCATGTCCACGTCCACGTCCTCGTCCATGTCCACGTCCACGTCCACGTCCATGTCTACGTCCACGTCCATGTCTACGTCCATGTCCACGTCCACGTCCACGTCCATGTCCACGACCACGTCCACGTCCACGTCCACGTCCACGTCCATTTCCACGTCCACGTCCACGTCCACGTCCACGTCCATGTCCACGTCCACGTCCACGTCCACGTCCACGTCCACGTCCACGTCCACGTCTACGTCCACGTCCACGTCCATGTCCACGTCCACGTCCACGTCCATGTCCATGTCCACGTCCACGCGGACGTCAACGTCCAGGTCCACGTCCACGTCAACGTCCAGGTCCACGTCCACGTCCACCTCCATTTCTACGTCCACGTCCACGTCCACGTCCACGTCCACGTCCTCGTCCATGTCCACGTCCACGTCCACCTCCACGTCCACCTCCACGTCCACGTCCACGTCCACGTCCATGTCCACGTCCACGTCCACGTCCTCGTCCATGTCCACGTCCATGTCCACGTCCATGTCCACGTCCACGTCCATGTCCACGTCCATGTCCACGTCCACGTCCATGTCCACGTCCACGTCCACGTCCACGTCCACGTCCATGTCCACGTCCACGTCCACGTCCACGTCCATGTCCACGTCCATGTCTATGTCCACGTCCACGTCCATGTCCACGTCCACGTCCATGTCCACGTCCATGTCCACGTCCATGTCCACGTCCACGTCTACGTCCACGTCCACGTCCATGTCCACGTCCACGTCCACGTCTACGTCCATGTCCACGTCCACGTCCAAGTCCACGTCCATGTCCAAGTCCATGTCCACGTCCACGTCCACGTCCACGTCCACGTCCATGTCCACGTCCACGTCCACGTCCACGTCCATGTCCACGTCCATGTCCACGTCCATGTCCACGTCCACGTCCACGTCCATGTCCACGTCCACGTCCACGTCCACGTCCATGTCCACGTCCACGTCCACGTCTACGTCCATGTCCACGTCCATGTCCACGTCCACGTCCACGTCCATGTCCACGTCCACGTCTACGTCCACGTCCACGTCCACGTCCACGTCCACGTCCACGTCCTCCTCCACGTCCATGTCCACGTCCATGTCCACGTCCACGTCCACGTCCACGTCCACGTCCACGTCCACGTCTGCGTCCACGTCCACGTCCACGTCCACGTCCATGTCCACGTTCACGTCCACGACCGCGTCCACGTTCGCGTCCACGTCCACGTCCACGTCCATGTCCACGTCCATGTCCACGTCCACGTCCACGTCCATGTCCACGTCCACGTCCACGTCCATGTCTACGTCCACGTCCATGTCTACGTCCATGTCCACGTCCACGTCCACGTCCATGTCCACGACCACGTCCACGTCCACGTCCACGTCCACGTCCATTTCCACGTCCACGTCCACGTCCACGTCCACGTCCATGTCCACGTCCACGTCCACGTCCACGTCCACGTCCACGTCTACGTCCACGTCCACGTCCACGTCCACGTCCACGTCCATGTCTACGTCCACGTCCACGTCCACGTCCACGTCCACGTCCACGTCCACGTCCATGTCCACGTCCACATCCAGGTCCATGTCCACGTCCACGTCCACGTCCACGTCCACGTCCATGTCCACGACCACGTCCACGTCCACGTCCACGTCCACGTCCATGTCCACGTCCACGTCCACGTCCATTTCTACGTCCATGTCCACGTCCATGTCCACGTCCACGTCCACGTCCACGTCCATGTCCACTTCCATGTCCACTTCCACGTCCACGTCTACGTCCATTTCTACGTCCACGTCCACGTCCATTTCTACGTCCACGTCCACGTCCACGTCCATGTCCACGTCCACGTCCATGTCCACGTCCATGTCCATGTCCACGTCCATGTCCACGTCCATGTCCACGTCCATGTCCACATCCATGTCCACGTCCACGTCCACGTCCACGTCCATTTCTACGTCCACGTCCACGTCCATGTCCACGTCCACGTCCACGTCCATGTCCACGTCCACGTCCACGTCCATGTCCACGTCCATGTCCACGTCCACGTCCACGTCCACGTCTACGTCCATTTCTACGTCCACGTCCACGTCCACGTCCATGTCCACGTCCACGTCCACGTCCATTTCTACGTCCACGTCCACGTCCACGTCCACGTCCACGTCCACGTCCATGTCCACGTCCACGTCCACGTCCACGTCCATGTCCACGTCGACGTCCACGTCCACGTCCACGTCCACGTCCACGTCCACGTCCACGTCCACGTCCACCTCCACGTCCACGTCCACGTCCATGTCCATGTCCACGTCCACGTCCACGTCCACGTCCACGTCCATGTCCACGTCCATGTCCACGTCCACGTCCACGTCCACGTCCACGTCCATGTCCACGTCCACGTCCACGTCCACGTCCATGTCCACGTCCATGTCCACGTCCATGTCCACGTCCATGTCCACGTCCATGTCCACGTCCACGTCCACGTCCACGTCCACGTCCACGTCCACGTCCATGTCCACGTCCACGTCCACGTCCATTTCTACGTCCACGTCCATGTCCACGTCCACGTGCACGTCCATGTCCATGTCCACGTCCATATCCACTTCCACGTCCACGTCCACGTCCATTTCTACGTCCACGTCCACGTCCATTTCTACGTCCACGTCCACGTCCATGTCCACGTCCACGTCCATGTCCACGTCCATGTCCATGTCCACGTCCATGTCCACGTCCATGTCCACGTCCATGTCCACGTCCATGTCCACGTCCATGTCCACGTCCACGTCCACGTCCATAACTACGTCCACGTCCACGTCCATGTCCACGTCCACGTCCACGTCCATGTCCACGTCCACGTCCACGTCCATGTCTACGTCCACGTCCATGTCTACGTCCATGTCCACGTCCACGTCCACGTCCATGTCCACGACCACGTCCACGTCCACGTCCACGTCCACGTCCATTTCCACGTCCACGTCCACGTCCACGTCCACGTCCATGTCCACGTCCACGTCCACGTCCACGTCCACGTCCACGTCCACGTCTACGTCCACGTCCACGTCCACGTCCACGTCCACGTCCACGTCCATGTCCATGTCCACGTCCACGCGGACGTCAACGTCCAGGTCCACGTCCACGTCAACGTCCAGGTCCACGTCCACGTCCACCTCCATTTCTACGTCCACGTCCACGTCCACGTCCACGTCCACGTCCTCGTCCATGTCCACGTCCACGTCCACCTCCACGTCCACCTCCACGTCCACGTCCACGTCCACGTCCACGTCCATGTCCACGTCCACGTCCACGTCCACGTCCACGTCCACGTCCACGTCCACGTCCATGTCCACGTCCATGTCCATATCCACGTCCATGTCCACGTCCATGTCCACGTCCATGTCCACGTCCATGTCCACGTCCACGTCCACGTCCATTTCTACGTCCACGTCCACGTCCAGGTCCACGTCCACGTCCACGTCCTCCTCCTCGTCCACGTCCACGTCCACGTCCACGTCCACGTCTAGTCCACGTCCACGTCCACGTCCACGTCCACGTCCATTTCCACGTCCACGTCTACGTCCACGTCCACGTCCACGTCCACGTCCACGTCCAGGTCCTCCACGTCCACGTCTACGTCCATGTCCTCCACGTCCACGTCCACGTCCACGTCCACGTCAACGTCCAGGTCCAGGTCCACGTCCATGTCCACGACCACGTCCACGACCACGTCCACGTCCACGTCCACGTCCACGTCCATCCACGTCCACGTCTACGTCCTCGTCCTCGTCCACGTCCACGTCCACGTCCACGTCCACGTCCACCTCCACGTCCACGTCCTCCACGTCCACGTCCACGTCCACGCGAACGTCAACGTCCAGGTCCACGTCCACGTCCACGTCCACGTCCACGTCCACGTCCACGTCCTCGTCCATGTCCACGTCCACGTCCACCTCCACCTCCACCTCCACGTCCACGTCCACCTCCACGTCCACGTCCACGTCCACGTCCATGTCCACGTCCACGTCCATGTCCACGTCCACGTCCAAGTCCACGTCCATGTCCAAGTCCATGTCCACGTCCACGTCCACGTCCACGTCCACGTCCACGTCCACGTCCACGTCCACGTCCATGTCCACGTCCACGTCCACGTCCATGTCCACGTCCACGTCCACGTCCATGTCCACGTCCACGTCCACGTCCACGTCTACGTCCACGTCCACGTCCACGTCCACGTCCACGTCCACGTCCATGTCCACGTCCACGTCTACGTCCATGTCCACGTCCACGTCTACGTCCACGTCCACGTCCACGTCCTCCTCCACGTCCACGTCCACGTCCTCCTCCACGTCCATGTCCACGTCCATGTCCACGTCCACGTCCACGTCCATGTCCACGTCCACGTCCACGTCCACGTCCACGTCCACGTCCACGTCCGCGTCCACGTCCACGTCCACGTCCGCGTCCACGTCCATGTCCACGTTCACGTCCGCGTCCACGTTCACGTCCACGTCCGCGTCCACGTCCACGTCCACGTCCATACGTCCACGTCCATGTCCACGTCCACGTCCACGTCCATGTCCACGTCCACGTCCACGTCCATGTCTACGTCCACGTCCATGTCTACGTCCATGTCCACGTCCACGTCCACGTCCATGTCCACGACCACGTCCACGTCCACGTCCACGTCCACGTCCATTTCCACGTCCACGTCCACGTCCACGTCCACGTCCATGTCCACGTCCACGTCCACGTCCACGTCCACGTCCACGTCCACGTCTACGTCCACGTCCACGTCCACGTCCACGTCCACGTCCACGTCCATGTCCATGTCCACGTCCACGCGGACGTCAACGTCCAGGTCCACGTCCACGTCAACGTCCAGGTCCACGTCCACGTCCACCTCCATTTCTACGTCCACGTCCACGTCCACGTCCACGTCCACGTCCTCGTCCATGTCCACGTCCACGTCCACCTCCACGTCCACCTCCACGTCCACGTCCACGTCCACGTCCATGTCCACGTCCACGTCCACGTCCTCGTCCATGTCCACGTCCATGTCCACGTCCATGTCCACGTCCACGTCCATGTCCACGTCCACGTCCACGTCCATGTCCACGTCCACGTCCACGTCCACGTCCACGTCCATGTCCACGTCCACGTCCACGTCCACGTCCATGTCCACGTCCATGTCTATGTCCACGTCCACGTCCATGTCCACGTCCACGTCCATGTCCATGTCCATGTCCACGTCCATGTCCACGTCCACGTCCACGTCCACGTCCACGTCCACGTCCATGTCCACGTCCACGTCCACGTCTACGTCCATGTCCACGTCCACGTCCAAGTCCACGTCCATGTCCAAGTCCATGTCCACGTCCACGTCCACGTCCACGTCCACGTCCACGTCCATGTCCACGTCCACGTCCACGTCCACGTCCATGTCCACGTCCATGTCCACGTCCATGTCCACGTCCACGTCCACGTCCATGTCCACGTCCACGTCCACGTCCACGTCCATGTCCACGTCCACGTCCACGTCTTCGTCCATGTCCACGTCCATGTCCACGTCCACGTCCACGTCCATGTCCACGTCCACGTCTACGTCCACGTCCACGTCCACGTCCACGTCCACGTCCACGTCCTCCTCCACGTCCATGTCCACGTCCATGTCCACGTCCACGTCCACGTCCACGTCCACGTCCACGTCCACGTCCACGTCTGCGTCCACGTTCACGTCCACGTCCACGTCCATGTCCACGTTCACGTCCACGACCGCGTCCACGTTCGCGTCCACGTCCACGTCCACGTCCATGTCCACGTCCATGTCCACGTCCACGTCCACGTCCATGTCCACGTCCACGTCCACGTCCATGTCTACGTCCACGTCCATGTCTACGTCCATGTCCACGTCCACGTCCACGTCCATGTCCACGACCACGTCCACGTCCACGTCCACGTCCACGTCCATTTCCACGTCCACGTCCACGTCCACGTCCACGTCCATGTCCACGTCCACGTCCACGTCCACGTCCACGTCCACGTCCACGTCCACGTCTACGTCCACGTCCACGTCCACGTCCACGTCCACGTCCACGTCCATGTCTACGTCCACGTCCACGTCCACGTCCACGTCCACGTCCACGTCCACGTCCATGTCCACGTCCACATCCAGGTCCATGTCCACGTCCACGTCCACGTCCACGTCCACGTCCATGTCCACGACCACGTCCACGTCCACGTCCACGTCCACGTCCATGTCCACGTCCACGTCCACGTCCATTTCTACGTCCATGTCCACGTCCATGTCCACGTCCACGTCCACGTCCACGTCCATGTCCACTTCCATGTCCACTTCCACGTCCACGTCTACGTCCATTTCTACGTCCACGTCCACGTCCATTTCTACGTCCACGTCCACGTCCACGTCCATGTCCACGTCCACGTCCATGTCCACGTCCATGTCCATGTCCACGTCCATGTCCACGTCCATGTCCACGTCCATGTCCACATCCATGTCCACGTCCACGTCCACGTCCACGTCCATTTCTACGTCCACGTCCACGTCCATGTCCACGTCCACGTCCACGTCCATGTCCACGTCCACGTCCACGTCCATGTCCACGTCCATGTCCACGTCCACGTCCACGTCCACGTCTACGTCCATTTCTACGTCCACGTCCACGTCCACGTCCATGTCCACGTCCACGTCCACGTCCATTTCTACGTCCACGTCCACGTCCACGTCCACGTCCATGTCCACGTCCACGTCCACGTCCACGTCCATGTCCACGTCGACGTCCACGTCCACGTCCACGTCCACGTCCACGTCCACGTCCACGTCCACGTCCACGTCCACCTCCACGTCCACGTCCACGTCCATGTCCATGTCCACGTCCACGTCCACGTCCACGTCCACGTCCATGTCCACGTCCATGTCCACGTCCACGTCCACGTCCACGTCCACGTCCATGTCCACGTCCACGTCCACGTCCATGTCCACGTCCATGTCCACGTCCATGTCCACGTCCATGTCCACGTCCATGTCCACGTCCACGTCCACGTCCACGTCCACGTCCACGTCCACGTCCATGTCCACGTCCACGTCCACGTCCATTTCTACGTCCACGTCCATGTCCACGTCCACGTGCACGTCCATGTCCATGTCCACGTCCATATCCACTTCCACGTCCACGTCCACGTCCATTTCTACGTCCACGTCCACGTCCATTTCTACGTCCACGTCCACGTCCATGTCCACGTCCACGTCCATGTCCACGTCCATGTCCATGTCCACGTCCATGTCCACGTCCATGTCCACGTCCATGTCCACGTCCATGTCCACGTCCATGTCCACGTCCACGTCCACGTCCATAACTACGTCCACGTCCACGTCCACATCCACGTCGACGTCCATGTCCACGTCCACGTCCACGTCCACGTCCATGTCCACGTCCATGTCCACGTCCACGTCCACGTCCACGTCCACGTCCATTTCTACGTCCACGTCCACGTCCACGTCCACGTCCACGTCCACGTCCATTTCTACGTCCACGTCCACGTCCACGTCCACGTCCACGTCCATGTCCACGTCGACGTCCACGTCCATGTCCACGTCCACGTCCACGTCCACGTCCACGTCCACGTCAACTTCCACGTCCACGTCCACGTCCATGTCCACGTCCACGTCCACGTCCACGTCCATGTCCACGTCCACGTCCACGTCCACGTCCATGTCCATGTCTACGTCCATGTCCACGTCCACGTCCACGTCCACGTCCACGTCCAGGTCCAGGTCCACGTCCATGTCCATGTCCACGTCCACGTCTACGTCCACGTCCACTTCCACGTCCACGTCCACGTCCATGTCCACGTCCACGTCCACGTCCATGTCCAGGTCCACGTCCACGTCCACGTCCACGTCCATGTCTACGTCCATGTCCACGTCCACGTCCACGTCCACGTCCACGTCCAGGTCCAGGTCCACGTCCATGTCCATGTCCACGTCCACGTCTACGTCCACGTCCACTTCCACGTCCACGTCCACGTCCATGTCCACGTCCACGTCCACGTCCATGTCCACGTCCACGTCCACGTCCACGTCCATGTCCACGTCCACGTCCACGTCCACGTCCACGTCCATGTCTACGTCCATGTCCACGTCCACGTCCACGTCCACGTCCACGTCCAGGTCCAGGTCCACGTCCACGTCCATGTCCACGTCCACGTCTACGTCCACGTCCACGTCCACGTCCACGTCCACGTCTACGTCCATGTCCACGTCCACGTCCATGTCCACGTCCACGTCCATGTCCACGTCCACGTCCATGTCCACGTCCACGTCCATGTCCACGTCCACGTCCATGTCCACGTCCACGTCCACGTCCATGTCCACGTCCACGTCCACGTCTACGTCCATATCCACGTCCACGTCCATGTCCACGTCCACGTCCAAGTCCACGTCCATGTCCACGTCCATTCCGTCCACGTCCACGTCCACGTCCACGTCCATGTCCACGTCCACGTCCATGTCCACGTCCACGTCCATGTCCACGTCCATGTCCACGTCCATGTCCACGTCCACGTCCACGTCCATGTCCACGTCCACGTCCACGTCCATGTCCACGTCCACGTCCACGTCCACGTCTACATCCATGTCCACGTCCATGTCCACGTCCATGTCCACGTCCATGTCCACGTCTACGTCCACGTCCACGTCCACGTCCACGTCCACGTCCACGTCCACCTCCATGTCCATGTCCACGTCCATGTCCACGTCCACGTCCACGTCCATGTCCATGTCCACGTCCACGTCCACGTCCATTTCTACGTCCACGTCCACGTCCACGTCTACGTCCACGTCCATGTCCACGTCCACGTCCACGTCCATTTCTACGTCCACGCCCATGTCCACGTCCAGGTCCACGTCCATGTCCACGTCCACGTCCACGTCAATTTCTACGTCCACGTCCACATCCACGTCCATGTCCACGTCCATGTCCACGTCCACGTCCACGTCCACGTCCACGTCTACGTCCACGTCCACGTCCACGTCTACGTCCACGTCCATGTCCACGTCCACGTTCACGTCCTTTTCTACGTCCACGTCCATGTCCACGTCTACGTCCATGTCCACGTCCACGTCCACGTCCATGTGCACGTCCACGTCCACGTCCATTTCTACGTCCTTGTCCATGTCCACGTCCACCTCCACGTCCACGTCCACGTCCACGTCCATTTCCAGGTCCACGTCCACGTCCACGTCCACGTCCACGTCCACGTCCACGTCCACGTCCATGTCCAGGTCCAGGTCCACGTCCACGTCCACGTCCACGTCTACGTCCACGTTCATGTCCACGTCCACGTCCACGTCCATGTCCACGTCCACGTCCACGTCCACGTCCACGTCCACGTCTCGTCCACGTCCAAGTCCACGTCCACGTCCAAGTCCACGTCCATGTCCACGTCCATGTCCACGTCCACGTCCACGTCCCTGTCCACGTCCATGTCCACGTCCACGTCCATGTCCACGTCCACGTCCATGTCCACGTCCATGTCCACGTCCATGTCCACGTCCACGTCCACGTCCATGTCCACGTCCACGTCCATGTCCACGTCCACGTCCACGTCCACGTCCATGTCCACGTCCACGTCCACGTCTACGTCCATGTCCACGTCCATGTCCACGTCCACGTCCAAGTCCACGTCCATGTCCACGTCCACGTCTACGTCCATGTCCACGTCCATGTCCACGTCCAGGTTCAAGTCCACGTCCATGTCCACGTCCACGTCTACGTCCACGTCCACGTCCACGTCCATGTCCACGTCCACGTCCACGTCCACGTCCACCTCCATATCCATGACCACGTCCATGTCCACGTCCACGTCCATGTCCATGTCCACGTCCACGTCCACGTCCACGTCCATTTCTACGTCCACGTCCACGTCCACGTCTACGTCCACGTCTATGTCCACGTCCACGTCCACGTCCATTTCTACGTCCACGTCCACGTCCACGTCCATGTCCAAGTCCATGTCCACGTCCACGTCCACGTCCACGTCCATTTCTACGTCCACGTCCACGTCCACGTCCATGTCCACGTCCATGTCCACGTCCACGTCCACGTCCACGTCCACGTCTACGTCCACGTCCATGTCCACGTCCACGTCCACGTCCATTTCTACGTCCACGTCCATGGACGACGTGGACGTGGACGTAGACGTGAACGTCCATTTCTACGTCCACGTCCATTTCTACGTCCACGTCCACGTCCACGTCCACGTCCACGTCCATGTCCACGTCCATGTCCACGTCCACGTCCATGTCCACGTCCACGTCCATGTCCACGTCCATGTCCACGTCCATGTCCACGTCCACGTCCACGTCCATGTCCACGTCCACGTCCATGTCCACGTCCACGTCCACGTCCACGTCCATGTCCACGTCCACGTCCACGTCTACGTCCATGTCCACGTCCATGTCCACGTTCACGTCCAAGTCCACGTCCATGTCCACGTCCACGTCTACGTCCATGTCCACGTCCATGTCCACGTCCAGGTTCAAGTCCACGTCCATGTCCACGTCCACGTCTACGTCCACGTCCACGTCCACGTCCATGTCCACGTCCACGTCCACGTCCACCTCCATATCCATGACCACGTCCATGTCCACGTCCACGTCCATGTCCATGTCCACGTCCACGTCCACGTCCACCTCCATTTCTACGTCCACGTCCACGTCCACGTCTACGTCCACGTCCATGTCCACGTCCACGTCCACGTCCATTTCTACGTCCACGTCCACGTCCACGTCCATGTCCAAGTCCATGTCCACGTCCACGTCCACGTCCACGTCCATTTCTACGTCCACGTCCACGTCCACGTCCATGTCCACGTCCATGTCCACGTCCACGTCCACGTCCACGTCCACGTCCACGTCCACGTCTACGTCCACGTCCATGTCCACGTCCACGTCCACGTCCATTTCTACGTCCACGTCCATGGACGACGTGGACGTGGACGACGTGGACATGGACGTGGACGTGGACTGACGTGGACATGGACGTGGACGTGGACGTGGACGTGGACGTGGACGTGGACGTGGACATGGACGTGGACGTGGACGTGGACATGGACGTGGACTGACGTGGACGTGGACATGTACGTGGACTGACGTGGACATGGACGTGGACATGGACGTGGACGTGGACTAGGACGACGAGGTGAACATGGACGTGGACATGGACGTGGACGTGGACGTGGACATGGACGTGGACATGGACGTGGACATGGACGTGGACATGGACGTGGACGTGGACGTGGACATGGACGTGGACGTGGACGTGGACTTGGACGTGGACATGGACGTGGACATGGACATGGACATGGACGTGGACTTGTGTCCGGACGCATGCTTGTGTCTAGACGCATGCTTGAGTCCGGTCGCATGCTTGTGTCCAGACGCATGCTTGTGTCCGGACGCATGCTTGTGTCCGGACGCATGCTTGTGTCCGGACGCATGCTTGTGTCCGGTCGCATGCTTTTGTCCGGACGCATGCTTGTGTCCGTACGCATGCTTGTGCCCGGTCGCATGCTTGTGTCCGGTCGCATGCCTGTGTCCGGACGCATGCTTGTGTTCGGACGCATGCTTGTGTCCGGACGCATGCTTGTGTCCGGACGCATGCTTGTGTCCGGACGCATGCTTGAGTCCGGTCGCATGCTTGTGTCGGGACGCATGCTTGTGTCCGGACGCATGCTTGTGTCTGGACGCATGCTTGTGTCCGTACGCATGCTTGTGTTTGGACGCATGCTTGTGCCCGGTCGATGCTTGTGTCCGGACGCATGCTTGTGTCCGGTCGCATGCTTGTGTCCAGACGCATGCTTGTGTCCGGACGCATGCTTGTGTCCGGAGGCATGCTTGAGTCCAGTCGCATGCTTGTGTCCAAACGCATGCTTGTGTCCGGTCGCATGCTTTTGTCCGACCGCATGCTTGAGTCCGGTCGCATGCTTGTGTCCGGACGCATGCTTGTGTCCGGACGCATGCTTGTGTCCGGTCGCATGCTTGTGTCCGGACGCATGCTTGAGTCCGGTCGCATGCTTGTGTCCGGACGCATGCTTGTGTCTGGACGCATGCTTGAGTCCGGTCGCATGCTCGTGTCCGGACGCATGCTCGTGTCCGGACGCATGCTTGTGTCCGGATGCATGCTTGTGTCCGGACGCATGCTTGAGTCCGGTCGCATGCTTGTGTCCGGACGCATGCTTGTGTCCGGACGCATGCTTGAGTCCGGTCGCATGCTTGTGTCCGGACGCATGCTTGTGTCCGGACGCATGCTTGAGTCCGGTCGCATGCTTGTGTCCAGACGCATGCTTGTGTCCGGACGCATGCTTGTGTCCGGACGCATGCTTGAGTCCGGTCGCATGCTTGTGTCCGGACGCAAGCATGTGTCCGGACGCATGCTTGTGTCCGAACGCATGCTTGTGTCCGTACGCATGCTTGTGTTTGGACGCATGCTTGTGCCCGGTCGCATGCTTGTGTCCGGACGCATGCTTGTGTCCGGTCGCATGCTTTTGTCCAGACGCATGCTTGTGTCCGGACGCATGCTTGTGTCCGGACGCATGCTTGAGTCCAGTCGCATGCTTGTGTCCAGACGCATGCTTGTGTCCGGTCGCATGCTTTTGTCCGACCGCATGCTTGAGTCTGGTCGCATGCTTCTGTCCGGACGCATGCTTGTGTCCGGACGCATGCTTGTGTCCGGACGCATGCTTGAGTCCGGTCGCATGCTTGTGTCCGGACGCATGCTTGTGTCCGGTCGCATGCTTGTGTCCGGACGCATGCTTGTGTCCGGACGCATGCTTGTGTCCGAACGCATGCTTGTGTCCGTACGCATGCTTGTGTTTGGACGCATGCTTGTGCCCGGTCGCATGCTTGTGTCCGGACGCATGCTTGTGTCCGGTCGCATGCTTTTGTCCAGACGCATGCTTGTGTCCGGACGCATGCTTGTGTCCGGACGCATGCTTGAGTCCAGTCGCATGCTTGTGTCCAGACGCATGCTTGTGTCCGGTCGCATGCTTTTGTCCGACCGCATGCTTGAGTCTGGTCGCATGCTTGTGTCCGGACGCATGCTTGTGTCCGGACGCATGCTTGTGTCCGGACGCATGCTTGAGTCCGGTCGCATGCTTGTGTCCGGACGCATGCTTGTGTCCGGTCGCATGCTTGTGTCCGGACGCATGCTTGTGTCCGGACGCATGCTTGTGTCCGGACGCATGCTTGTGTCCGGACGCATGCTTGTGTCCGGACGCATGCTTGAGTCCGGACGCATGCTTGTGTCCGGAAGCATGCTTGAGTACGGTCGCATGCTCGTGTCCGGACGCATGCTTGTGTCCGGACGCATGCTTTTGTCCGGACGCATGCTTGTGTCCGGACGCATGCTTGTGTCCGGACGCATGCTTGTGTCCGGACGCATGCTTGTGTCTGGACGCATGCTTGTGTCCGGACGCATGCTTGTGTCCGGTCGCATGCTTGAGTTCGGTCGCATGCTTGTGTCCGGACGCATGCTTGTGTCCGGACGCATGCTTGTGTCCGGACGCATGCTTGTGTCCGGACGCATGCTTGTGTCCGGACGCATGCTTGTGTCCAGACGCATGCTTGTGCCCGGTCGCATGCTTGTGCCCGGTCGCATGCTTGTGTCCGGACGCATGCTTGTGTCCGGACGCATGCTTGTGTCCGGACGCATGCTTGTGTCCGGACGCATGCTTGTGTCCGGACGCATGCTTGTGTCCGGACGCATGCTTGAGTCCGGTCGCATGCTTGTGTCCGGACGCATGCTTGTGTCCGGTCGCATGCTAGTGTCCGGACGCATGCTTGTGTCCGGACGCATGCTTGTGTCCGGACGCATGCTTGTGTCCGGACGCATGCTTGTGTCCGGACGCATGCTTGTGTCCGGACGCATGCTTGAGTCCGGACGCATGCTTGTGTCCGGACGCATGCTTGTGTCCGGACGCATGCTTGTGTCCGGACGCATGCTTGTGTCCGGACGCATGCTTGTGTCCGGACGCATGTTTGTGTCCGGACGCATGCTTGTGTCCGGACGCATGCTTGTGTCTGGACGCATGCTTGAGTCCAGACGCATGCTTGTGTCCGGACGCATGCTTGTGTCCGGACGCATGCTTGTGTCCGGACGCATGCTTGTGTCCGGACGCATGCTTGAGTCCGGTCGCATGCTTGTGTCCGGACGCATGCTTGTGTCCGGTCGCATGCTAGTGTCCGGACGCATGCTTGTGTCCGGACGCATGCTTGTGTCCGGACGCATGCTTGTGTCCGGACGCATGCTTGTGTCCGGTCGCATGCTTGTGTCCGGACGCATGCTTGTGTCCGGACGCATGCTTGTGTCCGGACGCATGCTTGTGCCCGGTCGCATGCTTGTGTCCGGACGCATGCTTGTGTCCGGACGCATGCTTGTGTCCGGACGCATGCTTGTGTCCGGACGCATGCTTGTGTCCGGACGCATGCTTGTGTCCGGACGCATGCTTGTGTCCGGACGCATGCTTGTGTCCGGACGCATGCTTAAGTCCGGTCGCATGCTTGTGTCCGGACGCATGCTTGAGTCCGGACGCATGCTTGTGTCCGGAAGCATGCTTGAGTACGGTCGCATGCTCGTGTCCGGACGCATGCTTGTGTCCGGACGCATGCTTTTGTCCGGACGCATGCTTGTGTCCGGACGCATGCTTGTGTCCGGACGCATGCTTGTGTCCGGACGCATGCTTGTGTCTGGACACATGCTTGTGTCCGGACGCATGCTTGTGTCCGGACGCATGCTTGAGTTCGGTCGCATGCTTGTGTCCGGACGCATGCTTGTGTCCGGACGCATGCTTGTGTCCGGACGCATGCTTGTGCCCGGTCGCATGCTTGTGTCCGGATGCATGCTTGTGTCCGAACGCATGCTTGTGTCCGGACGCATGCTTGTGTCCGGACGCATGCTTGTGTCCGGACGCATGCTTGTGTCTGGACGCATGCTTGAGTCCGGTGGCATGCTTGTGTCCGGACGCATGCTTGTGTCCGGTCGCATGCTTGTGTCCGGACGCATGCTTGTGTCCGGACGCATGCTTGTGTCCGGACGCATGCTTGTGTCCAGACGCATGCTTGTGTCCGGATGCATTCTTGTGTCCACACGCATGCTTGTGTCCGGACGCATGCTTGAGTCCGGTCGCATGCTTGTGTGCGGACGCATGCTTGTGTCCGGACGCATGCTTGTGTCCGGACGCATGCTTGTGTCCGGACGCATGCTTGTGTCCGGACGCATGTTTGTGTCCGGACGCATGCTTGTGTCTGGACGCATGCTTGTGTCTGGACGCATGCTTGAGTCCGGTCGCATGCTTGTGTCCGGACGCATGCTTGTGTCCGGACGCATGCTTGTGTCCGGACGCATGCTTGTGTCCGGACGCATGCCTTTGTCCGGTCGCATGCTTGTGTCCGGACGCATGCTTGTGTCCGTATGCATGCTTGTGTCCGGTCGCATGCTTGTGTCCGGTCGCATGCCTGTGTCCGGACGCATGCTTGTGTTTGGACGCATGCTTGTGTCCGGACGCATGCTTGTGTCCGGACGCATGCTTGTGTCCGGACGCATGCTTGTGTCCGGACGCATGCTTGAGTCCGGTCGCATGCTTGTGTCCGGACGCATGCTTGTGTCCGGACGCATGCTTGTGTCCGGACGCATGCTTGTGTCCGTACGCATGCTTGTGTTTGGACGCATGCTTGTGCCCGGTCGCATGCTTGTGTCCGGACGCATGCTTGTGTCCGGTCGCATGCTTGTGTCCAGACGCATGCTTGTGTCCGGACGCATGCTTGTGTCCAGACGCATGCTTGAGTCCAGTCGCATGCTTGTGTCCAGACGCATGCTTGTGTCCGGTCGCATGCTTTTGTCCGACCGCATGCTTGAGTCCGGTCGCATGCTTGTGTCCGGACGCATGCTTGTGTCCGGACACATGCTTGTGTCCGGTCGCATG